ACAATCTCTGGTAAATCTACGTCCTTTCCATATCTAAAATGGTATCTAATGAGGAAGGAAAAAGTTTGATCGTGTCCGAGTAATATTCAAATTTGAATTCAAGATGGATTAGCCTCGCCTCTGGACATTTTTATGTGCCCACTACACAGTTCCCTCCTCACGCATGAAGGGCAAGATTTCAACGTGAAAAGAAGGTGCATACAGGATAATGCACGCATAAGAAGAAGGTCGTAACTGCATATATGGATGGATGGGAGACGCGTTGATCATCACGGTTTGGTCTTCTGATCGGCATTTTATTTCATTTTATATAATCAATGCACATCAAGAAGAAGGAGCAAGATTCCTTTCTCCTTAATTTCCCCATGATGCGCCTTCTAATAATCCAGCATCAAATCCAGTTTGGGCATGTGCTATAATGGTGATGATGAGGATGCATACACTACTGGATTGGATTCAATTTTACGCAAATTCATTACCCAGAAGGTATAGAGTGCATGTACAAATATCCATTCTGTAACGAGGATCGAGGAGATGCAGCAGTTTTAGGATATCCTTTTTACGTTGGGAACTTGTGATCAATAATAAAATGGAAATATTGAGCGGAATAATGCTACCCTTGTAACACCACAAATGCCATTTATTCACGGGATGAAGTGCATTAAAATGTCAGGTTGGACAAAGAGGTATCATTTACATTAACTAGTTAGTACGAAGGAGAGGATCATTTGCATGAACTGTCCTTCTTGAGACTGGAGAGTTGACAACATGATTAGAGATCACACGATTTCAAGATTTTAGTAAACACTGGGATGTTCGTAGGGCAAGGTAGGTAGCATTGAAGTCATTGTAAATATGCGTCGACTCTGCGTATTTCATTAAGAATCGGGCTTCTCTAACCAAACCACTTGAACTGATTTATAGCAACATGATCCCTAAATGTACCGAGTTTGTGGAGATATAAGTGCAGTGTGGAATCCGTGTAAACACTCATCCTCAACCAGACCGGAATGGAATATGATGTCTGTTGCATTAGGTGCTACCACGTCTGCATTTTCTGCATCATAATTTTTCCTCATTCGTAACAGTATTTAGTAAATGCAAAGCAGCGCCTGTCTTTAGCTCCGTATTGGCCATGACAGTGAACTTGAATGGATAACAGGAAGGAATATCTGACCAGAAACGAGCAAAATGTTGGAGAGAAAAGAGGGGAAAGAACAAAATGTGGATAAAGTGGGGGAGTGAATTGTATACCGCTCTTTTTGTGTTATTTATGTACGCGTGTATCGCCAGCAGACGACGACAAGGTCTAGGTAACGGCAACGTGCGACACATCAGAGTGACAGTTGCAGAAGCAACCGGGGATGAATTATGTAGGATTTCGCTGGACAAATTAGTAACACGGACGGACCCGTGGCGATTTCATTCCATCCCAAAAATCCGAAATCTATACGGTACAGAAAGGGATGGACGGAATGAAATACAAAAAATGGGATTACATGCCCACGTTTAGGCTGGACACTGCTAAATGTATTACATACATTAAAGGCCGCTTAGTTAATTCAGTCAGGGTCGGCGTCTTCGTGAAGCGTTGTTTCTTCCATCAATTGCAGGGTATATTTACTGCAATTCGGAGTTATTTATGTCTCAAATGGATCTAATTTCTGGGGAAGGAAACAATATATTTCAGTCCGAATAAGGGATTTGTACTCAATGTGAGATTAGCAGATGCGAACTCGGCACGTGCCAGTGCAGGCGTTTCTGACCGTTTCGGTTTCTATTCTGGTACTGGGCACGTCTTGTTTTCCTCTAATAAACGCTGAAAATTAGTCAGGTTTCTAAATTTTCATGGAAAAATGTACATAACACATATACGCATCCGTTTTCATGAATAGCCATAATTTCAATGGAACTGGAAAACAATTCAATCAGCATTTACGGACTGTTTCACTTTTTCCATCCCATCAAATTATGGGTGGTCTCACTCTCTTCTAATTTTTTGATGGACAACCAACAACAGGAGCCGTGTATGTATGTATACGGACCAAACTTCTTTTCAGAAAATTACATCAATGCCCTTTAAACAAAATTGAGATTGGTTCTTGCCCTACAATGCGATTGCGTACTATTTGTGAAGTTGGATTTGGGATATTTTGTCTGTCAGACAAATGACATCGACATGAACGAAACTCATCCTGCTTGCTCAAGTCCAGATCCTGTCATACATAAAAAAACCTCCCTGAGTAATGCTACAAAAGTGGAATGATCTCCTGAACCAGCAGAATTGTGCCGGTGAAATGGAAAATATTCGGTCATCATTCCTTCGCAGGTTTCGTATAACTCATCGGATTTAGATTAGGAATTTGTAAACCAATTCTTTTCCTTTGAAATTATCATGAAGCGTGCAACTGGTGCGTATAGTTGGCAGTTGGCAGGAGGAAAGAACTAATCGGAAAATCGTGAACGAAGGAGAAATTCGGGGATAAAAAATGGGTGGTTGCATGGCTTAGGATACATAGATATTTCTGACGACGACGATGACGACTAGTTCACCACCCAATGTTATTCTTGAGAATGTAATAATGCAGCAATGCAATCAAATCAATACTTGGTTGTTCCTCCACACGTATTATTTCCTGCAGGAGAGGAGAAGATCGAAGTGGAAACGTGGAATGTCCAGAAGGTGAGGTAATCCTATTAAAAGACGTGACTAATGAGTTGCCCTAAGTAGTCAGACGATGCATGGCTGCGTGCTCCACAAATCCCAAGATCAATCCTACACGATGGATGGACTTTGAAGCAAAAAGTCAAAGTATGAAACAATATAGTAAATAATGAGTTTTGAAACAAAACTTAAAATATTCTCGTTTCAAGAAGTAATAAGTAAGGAGGTAGTTCGGACATTGTTGTTTTTTCGTGTGAAAGTTTTTTCCTAATTTATCCACGTACGTACTAATTTTAATTTTTCGGATGAGCTGTGATATTTAAAGAAAGAGACAGACAAGATAGAAATGCAGATTACGGAGGGGTGCATAAAGTACCACAACAACGTAACTTAACACAACAAAAACTTCCCTTGGTCGGTATCCGGACGAAATCTCAAGTCCGAATCTAAATGAGGAAAGGCACATTTTAATGTATGGCTAACCCTTGACTTTTGATGTGGTTTATCTCTTTTTATGATAATCCTTAGAGCATATATGCCCTCCTCGTTGGAGTTTAGAGGCACTTTTTATTTTTCCTGTTGTAATGAATGATAAGGATGATGATACATTTCCCAGACTAATTTTATTGCCACCTTGGAAAATATATATCTAAAGAGCGGATTCACATATATGTAGGTAATACACATGTCTCTACTAATCTCACCTCGTACGGCTGGACTTTGACGGACATTTATCAACCAACCTCTTCTTGGTTGTGATGATATGATATGCACCTTCCTCCTCTCATCTGGCGAGATAATAGATAAGTACTTTACCCTTCTTCCAACCGGATAAGTCTCATCCCTGAAGAGTCATCTTTACTAATTGTCAGCTTACTTGCATCCACATTTATCTTGAGCCCTTGATTTAAGAGAGAAAAGCTAGCGAGCGAGAAACACAAATGGAGAACACTTTGGTTTGATGTAAAGCTTTTGAATGATGATGAAACGAAGCATGAAATGAAATATTCAAGTGGTTTATCGGCATGTTGCACTAACAACGAACCGACACTCAAGGGTACCACCACCACCACCACCACTGCTCGTCGAGTGAGTAAGTGAAGGTACTTATGAGAGAAGAAGGTGTGGTGTAGTTATTGTGGTCGCATCCCGAATCTCTAGCACTTTGTCCTACTACACATCACACCACCGACCGCAACCATCACTGCGTTTTTGATGATGAGAACGGTTGAGCAGAATGAAATGAGATCAGCTCCCTGGACAGAAAGAGAGGGAGAGAACAAGGCCCTTCTTTTTCTTCTCATCTCAATGGAAATCTCATCACATTTGCTCGTCAACAATGTCTGAGCATGAACTTCATTAAGATTTTGAACTCATTCTTGGCTAGGCAGGGAGGGGAAGTGATTGATCAAATCGTGCTATTAGTGAAACATACGTACATGGATGCAATTTCAGGCCTAAAAAAAATCAAGTATTCAATTTTGGTCCTGCAAATTTAAAAATCTCTAAACCCTCGAGGAAACGGCTGTGAGCGATTCTAGAACATTCATAACTATGTGGACATAGTGATAATATTTGAATCCGAAATATAAAACAGGTTACTGCACACTTCGTAAGGGAAGCCTGGTTGGTTGTCAGTTGTCATGTAGTCCGTCACTTTCTTTCTCTTTTCTCAACCTTGCCAGATCACCGGAGCAGATTAGTCTATCTTGTTCCATTAATCGCATTAAACAAACCTGGACCTGGTTCCCCTGCATGTAATCATCATTCAACTCTTCTTGTTCCTCTCATTATTTCACTATCATGCTGTTCGCTCGTGAATCAATGCTCCAAGCTTTGGTGAATTGCATCATGTAAACTATGCACTGAACGAGGTGGAGGTGTGTGTGTGTGTACCTTGCCACTTTTTGATACAATAAGTCTTCGAAGGGTACGTACGTACCTCAACGACACCACTTCATTTCCACAATATTGCAACACACACAAGGACAACGTTTCATTTGCCTGTTCTCTATTATTAAATACCAATCGTCACATGAATGTTCAGACGAAGAGAGAGGTAGAAAAGGTGATAAAATCATAATCGACACTTGGAGGTTGGGTTTCAAGCAGAAAATTGTGATTTGAATGTCCATGAGGACTAACAAAAAATTAAGTTTACTCGTATTTTTTATCACCTTTTGTATTCACGCAAATAATGATGATTTAGCTTCAAATTATTGCATGTACATACATCGTGATAAAGAACTGCATGCAGAAATGCAGTCATCTCAAGTTTGATGTACTCAAATTAATTTTTTTTTGTCGAAGACGAATAGAATGTGAGCAGGCTTACCCAGTGACTTAATTTGTCTGCGTGGACGTCATTGTTATTTCCTTGGTCAGTGTCATCTTCATCCTCGTACGAGTCGTCATCGTCCAATTCGTCCTCTTCCAAGTCATCGAATTCCTTGTCCAAGAAGGAGGCAGGACGATGGGTGGAAGTTGATGTGGTCCGACTTTGCTTGTTGTTGCTGAAAAGCGTGGCTGACGAGTCCGCGCTGGAGAAGGGATAATAGTCCTGCAAAAACAAATTTGAATTTTTATGTAAATTTTTAATGATTTTTTTTTACTTTTTCTTATTAGTTTGACTTGGATCTTGAAGAGGTCGAATTTATAGGGAACAAAAGTTGATTGATTGTGCGTGTGCAATTTGCACATCAATGTCATTGACTGATTGGCCGGCCAACCAACGCATTGTTGTTGTGCTGTTTGAGCAATTTGCGTATGAAAAGGTTTACAATTTATGTTGAAGTAGAATTTTGTGATTAAGCATATTTGGATGCAGTGCAATTCAAACTGCTCACCAGGTAATTAGCAGGTTGGTTAAAATTCGTCGGTTTTGTGCAGAGGGGAACATGTGAGTGCAAAAGAGTCGATAATTAAAACAAGATGCTTGATTAAGGAAGTGGATTCATGGACAGAAATTGCTTGCACGACTTTTTCCACTCCGGATGAAAATGAGAAGAAGGAAAATTTACAACTTTTTTTAGTCGGGTAGGAAATTCGTAAAAAAAATGTGTTACTCATGAAAATCATTCAAAATTTGGTATGTATGCGATGAGTGATGGGATGTAATAAGGATTAAAAATTTAAATGAACGGGTAGCAGATTGGGTGTCAGGCTTATAATTTTTCAGATAAATATATTATGTGAAATGTGTTCTTGACCCAAATTTGCTGGGCCACTCCAGTGACACTAATTATATCCGAGTTAATTATGTTAGTGGCAATATGGCGTATTGACAAGTATGCATGTCAGGTGATGCGATTCGTTCATGACAGACAGGAACGCGTTCTTAACTCCGATGTGATCTCATGCATTGTTCCTAGTGGTAAGCAAGCAAAAATCGAAAACAAGATGACAAAACTGACTGAGATCATACAAACTCATCTATTGCTGCATCTTCTCGGTCTGAGTATCGCCACTTCTGAGAATTATGTACTAGCCAGTGGCCACGGAATTGTGGGGACAATGTCCCCACGGTTATATCAGCTGCCCATCTTATACAAACCCCTCCCCCCATTCCCACAATGTTAATGTCCCCAGATGTCCCCACGGCTTCCGCAGCCACTGATTCTAGCACACGAACAATTGGACACCAGCGGCGTTTAACGAGTTGCAAACTTTTATACAAACTTAAAAAACCTTGTGTCCAAATTCAGTTTCATTTCAATTATTGAAACATGACTCCAAGTAATTAAATAGGTCTGCCATTTTTTCAGAAAGTTACCCGTCTGTCAGTATTGCATACTCTGAATCTAATTATGTTCAAGGATAATCACCGTCTCAAACCAGCCTGTCGCAAAAAGATTTTCATAATTGGAACTAAATCCTTGCCTCGCTTTGTACATAGAAAATCAGTAACATGCTCTTCTTTTTATAGGTTTGCAAAAGTCACATTGACGAGCAAACCAGTCCTATTAGCGTCACCCATGCCACCGATCCTTATCTCGTCTCGAACTCTATTGCTCAGGTTGAAACCTCGACGCGAGTTTGCCAATATTAATTTAACTTGGATAAAAACGTCTGGAATTTTATGAACCTCGTTCTCGTGTCGTCCCAATCAAGAGGATAATTTGCGAATAAAGTTGGAAGATTTATTTCCGTTTCGACCGAATGGTTATTAAGGTGAGCATGTGTGAGACGACGTCGACGAGTTAAGTAACTTGGAGTTATTGATGCTGCGGTTTCTTCCGCATTGTCACCCGGCTATATCTCCAAGAAGAAAAAGAAGAAGAATTAATGGAATATGACAGCAAACAAGGCTCGACGACGAGATAGCTCTAAAAAAGAGTGAGGACACATTGGAACAGATAGCCTTCAAATTTTGCAACGGATCATTTACGCACTGCCCGAGTTTATTAGCAATAAAATTTTTGTGGAAGGTGGACAATAAACGAAAATTTCACGTATGTATATAAGCACACAACAAAATGAATAAATGTTCCCTCTCAACGCTAGTTTCGTTAAAAAGTGCGTATCGCATGGGACAAGCAAAAAATTGGTACAACTCTGTACTGATTGACACTGAGCAATTTAAGTGCATGCAGTGCGTGTGGGGCAGTTTGCCAATTTTTTTAGTACAAGTAACCCACCCATACAAATATACAAGCCATCCTCTAATAACTCAATTTCAGTTTCGTTTTTGATTTATGTTCTCCACGTTGAACTGAGGGTCGGCTTCTCGGTGCGCATTTTTTAAGAACAATCACCAACCAGAGCGTTTTCTGTTTCCGGAAATGTAGTTTCGTTAATAAGAGCTCGCTTGGGTCGGTACGAGACGAGTATCATTTCATATTTATGACATCACCAGACTCGACGTTGAGTGCATGAGACATGTAGTTTCCATCAGTTGGCAGAAATTAAATGTCAAAGATCGAATTACACGTTACGTTGTTGCAAAATTGAGTGAGCACTGCGTTAATGGAATTTGGAATTCATGAACACGCGAATCAGATATGCTTCACTTCATGAGATCAATAACTCATAAATTGAAATTCAACGCTGTTATTTCTTCTTTAACAAGAAGTCATTTCCAGTTTCGCACAAAACATGGAATTTTCCAGGAGTTTAGGGACATGTGTAGTGCAGGAATATGTAAATACGTGCACATATGTATATGGGAAACATGCGGAATTTGTGCTAACGAAGCAGAATGGGCCCCATCATACCATAACGCATCTGTCATAACCATCTTGTGTGAAAATTAACGATGAAAGAACTTGTCAAAACTTTGTGACATCATTTACTTGATGATCTTCAAGCGTAGTAAGTGTGGTGTGCATATAAGATGCGTGCCGATGAGTCAGACCTATACTACACACAAATGTCATATTGTCAGTCAATGCCAAAAACACGATGAACAACTAACCAAACCCATATTTCCATAAAGAAAATCGAGAAAAATCTCGCATTTAAATTTATAATGGGTTCTCTCATAGATAATATTTGCAGAAGAGATTGCGACTTTTCTGGTTATGTTATCGTGAATTTGTTCTTTTGGGCATCTGAGAAATCCGTATGACCGATCATTCGCCAAATTAAGCTAATCAATTTATGTGTCATCATAAAACTCTGGTGAGTTTGGAGTTAATGTTTCATTTATTTTATGAGCGAGCGAGGAGACCCAAGCCGTACCTGGACTTGGCTTGATTGTGGCGTACAATACGAATCATGTCGTTCCGCATTAGGAATAAAATCCTGCATATTTAGTTTCTAATCGTTGTCTTCGGCTTAGTTTGCACGGCCATAAACTTGAATTAAATGATGGTATCATCATAATTTGCAAAAAAGCAGAGGAGTACAATTATTCAGGAATATGCACGTAAATCCAGCCCAAGACATTCCAATTGCAAGTGGTTCACGATTCTAACATTCATGCAACTTGGAGAAAGATGAGTAAAATATTTTGCCTTTAAAATGCAAAATGCAAAGTAGTTTCACATACAGCAAAATTTCAGAGTTTAAATGCAAAATTAGGAATATTTCACTCGGATTTTAATAAAAATACAAAATGCTTTAGGTACTTCGAATAAACGACAAATTTAAACTTTGACTTGTTTGAGGACACCTAAGTATGTAATGTTTGGAAACCGGAAACAGATTTTAACCTTGCTAACAGGTTGCTTTATATTGAGATTGCATGATTTTAAAGATATGTAGAAAGATAATTTATCCCGAAATAATAAAAAAAAATATATTAAAAATTAAAACTTGTATGAATATATTTTGCTGACCTTTGCAGAATGGAATGGAATTTTTTTTTAATAAGCTACGCCATATGAATGGCTAAATAAATACATAATTTTCCAACCACGGCGAATAAGAGAATATTATACCATCAATTGAAATAAGGAGTAAAGTTGTTTACTCTTTGCAGCAAAAAATTTAATCAATATTGCAAAAAACGTGGAGCATAACTTTGTCGAGTTTAATTAAAGAAATATTAATAATAAATCATTGCCTACATGGCTACAACTTTTGCACATGGACGTCAACGCAGAAAAGTTATGGCTAAAGTCAAAGTCAAACTAAATAAAGGTGAGACGATGGAGGAATTGGACTAATCTAAGGACAACCAACCTAGACATTGCAGGTGCCAAAAAGTTAATTCGTTTTGTGCTTGTCCTTCCTCCATGATCGCGATGAGGTTAAGAAAAATCAATCCGAGATGAGATACATAGTTAGTTAGCAAATCAATTTTGTAAAATGTGTTTCTGCTGCTTTTGCCAAATGTTCGACCAGATTTCCATACAAGCTGCGAATGAAATTCAATCATTCCTTATTTTGTTGCGGAATCCATATCGGTAATTATTGCAATAAACAAAAATGCATCTAAACCCAAAGTGCAATTTTATGCAAAACAAAAGCCATTAATAACTTTTTCTCCGTGCGCAAACATGATAAACCAAGGACAACCGGCTTTATTAGACTCGTTTTTTTTAAGAATCGTCTCACCAAGTTTGCTGGCTGAAAGTATTATACGACGATTGTAAACATAATTGTTTCCTTTTTTCCAGAACGACCCTTGTAACAGGTACGTTTAAGAGTAATTAGTAAAAATTTTAGGGTCAATTATAGAAAACAATTATTCCAAACTAACCTTCCTAACTTAACCTTCGCACCTAGAATGGGATATCGTAAATACTTATCTCATATTAATCTGGTAACGTCCAGAGTTGGCTGGGGAAGCGAAATCTTTGAAAATTCCTCATTAATCGTTAGTATGGCACACACGCAATTTCAATTTTCCAACTCATCAATTCAACAATTTCTTGATGCGACTTCACGCTGTGATGCGATTCAAGACGACGAAAGTATTTTGCTTGGTCATTTTTATACACTTGTGAGAAATGCGTATACTCGTCACTCGTTTGAAGAAGATGTACCCACGTTTTTGTGCGAATATGAAGGAGTAAAATGAATGAAGGGCTGATAAGCACGGATTGGAGATGAGACAGCGAAATGTGATACGTGTCATTATTATTACTTCATGTCCTTATTATGGCTGGCAATCGAATTGTTAAGAAAAAATTATGTCCAGCCAGGAGGATGAGCTGAGTGATTGTTCTGCTCTGAAGGGAAAAACAATCGAGCTGCATAAAACGTGTTTATCTGTTAATTATTGTGTTGTTGTCGTGTCATAAGTGAGGAATAGTGGGGGAATTATATATGTACAAACACAAGCTACTGCTGCTCCTCCTTATTTAGGATGTATATTTATAATAAGTGGTTAGTGTTACATGCATGCACTCACTCGTTCATTGATTGCTCATGTTAGCAATCCTGCAGAAAAGTCAAAGTCATTGGATTGCTTGGCAAGTCGTGAAATGACTACAGGCAAAAAAAACATTGTTGTTATTTTGATCTCAACAACTAAATACGTAAATGCATACATAACATTCGACTTTTGACATTGGAACGGTTGACACAATCTTTGCGTAATGATCTCTCCCGTAGAATTACATACTTTCTCATGGGATTATGTAACCACATACGTCACAAAATTTTGCAGATTCTTACACAAATAAAGATCCAGTCGCTTTTACGAGGAGGAAATTAATCAAGTCAACCCACCCATCCGTGGTTATAAGTATTGTGGAGAAGAAAACATGTTGCATAACTTGTGAACCAGGCCAGCGATGAAAATCCATTGTGCATGTCTGTCCAGCGTGTTGAATGAATTAGTACGAGAATCCATTCCCATAAAGAAATAAAATTATGGAACAATGCCTCTTTTGGGCGAAGCGTGCATGGTGACTTCATCCGCATTTCAGCTCATAGATTGGTGTTAGTTCCAAACAACAAAGTGAAAAAATTTGAAAAAATGAACACATATTTTTTGAAGTAATACGTGTTACTGGCCGTCGTGAGGTAAAGATTTCAAAGTACGATCAGATGAGATGGAATTGCAGAGGCAAAAAGTTTATCCGGCCGGACTGACTTTTGTCCAGTCTACCTCATCTACGTCTCAGCAAAACTTTTTTCCTCCTTCTTCTTCTTATGGTTGTAACTTATTGTATCCCACGTCGTAAACTGAGATTTTGTCCATAAAAGAGTAAATTGCAATTTCGGACATGAACTCGCACACACGTGGATGGCTTTGGTTTGTTTGTCACCCACATGTTCTTCTGCCTGTAAAGCAAACTTTTCTCCACGGGGGATATTTATGTCTCAACTTTTTCATGCGACCATCTTCTTCATCCGTGAACGGAGTTATTTTAATTTCTCAAACTTTGTGCAACCAACCAAACTATAAATATATTGGAAAAAATTCGGAATAAAAAAATCCAGGAAAGAATAGATAGTTGCACAGGATATGAGTATGCATAATAAATATGAGGATCCTGACACTGAAAAGAGTCGTCAACCAGAAAACTAACTTAACCTATGTCGTCTTTTCCCATTTTGTTTCCATAATCGCACTGACATTTGACCTTTATTGTCCAAGTTTAATTTTATTATTATTCCTTTCCAAACCAAATCATTATCTGTGTCTGCATCTCTCTCCACAAGTGGAAATGAACTCGCTTGCACGGTGTGATGATCTCTTCTTTTCGACGGACTTACTGGCGGAATGAAAAAATGTTCACATCTCTCTCCCCAGGATGCGGATGATGGATTTATTTGTCAATTCGAAGGAGTGAGGAGTGTGTTTTCACAACCATATTCTTCTCCTTCCTTGTAAAGCTAAAGTCAACTCGAGCCACACGCATTTCATGTACTTTTACGCACAAAGAACAACTGTAAATATAGACTCTGCCATTTGTTATTTACTTTGCACAAATTATTGCGATAATATTAATGCAGTGACACTCCAAAATGGTGAATGATACATGCAAAAACTAGACGACGCACATTTTTTTTTTCTTATCTGTCTTGCCAAGAAATGGATGGATGGATGCATGGATGTTATGTATTTAATCTAACTGTACTTGACACTTAGTTTGGCAGGAAGACATAGTTAGTGAAAAATGGGGTTTAAAGTTTTTTTACCTTTGATTGTTGCTGAGGACCTCCGGCGTCTAGTCGGTTCAGAACTTTATCCAATCCTCGTAAGGAAGATGAGGATGACGATGGGGATGAGTTTCCCCCTTTGGAATTGGAGGGTGAATATCCAGTATTGGTGTTTGAACGACCAATTGCACCATCCACGACGACGCCGATGTCCACAACTAGCAGAACGAAAGCCAGGAATGGGAGGAAACGTGCCCCTCTAGTCGCCATTTCTTCAAATGGTCTCAATCTCAAGATTCTGGTTGACCTAAAAGTACAAAAATTAGTCAATGATTGTGTTCTTAAGCAGATTTATATTCTTCCAGTCGATTTAAGTCAAATGTGGAGTAGATTTATTATTCGTGTGTGCCAGGAGTGAGATGAAATACGTAACCCAAATATTATCGCAGCAGCACTTGGTCTTGGTAAAATTTATGATTATGGGCTCTGCTGGCTGACCATTATTTTGTTTGAATGGAGACATGAAGTGAATCCGACCAAATGTGCAAGTTGGGTGGTTTCGCTGAAGAAACGCCACGCCAAAATATTTGCAAGTCTCTGTCCTCTCTCTATCTCTTTGTAAACAAGGGTGTAATGTGGTGCAGTCGAGTATCTAGGATTACATCGTCCACACTCATTGCCGATCTTTTACAGCATTTTTTTTCGAGTAATTTGTCAAGTTTGAGAAATAAACAAGTTTAACGGAGCAGAGTGTATAAACCATAAACTATCTTCATATGTACATGTGTAGTTAGTAGCTCGATATTTGTACCAACATGAAAAAGTGTACACACACACTTTACTTCTTGGAACAAGGTTTGAGACTACCGTGTTGATTTATTCTTTGAGCAAACAGATCACATTTCTCTCCAACCTTTTACCAATCACCATAACTAACTAACTACTCTGCCCACTAAACAGATTAATTAAGACAATCAACTCCTCAAACTTATTTGCGACACAGAATTGCAATTTGCAAAATGTTACTTTTAACACTGTCCCAACCTAAATTTAGTTGTGACGACCCATTCATTTATCTATTTACTGCGTTGGATAGGTTAGGTCACCTAATCACTTATGCCTCCCCATCCCATTAATGAAGTCGAGGAACCCAATCTATCTGCTGCATTCCGTCACTCGGATGCTAATTAGTTAGTGCAGCACATCAGCTCAAGTGCTACCACCACAGCCCTCGAATTAAAAAGTTAGATTGCCTCGCATGCATGATTCAGTCTCGCCAAACACAACGGGACAAGAAGAACACCACGTTGAATAAATTCTTATTAGAATAGAAGCCGACGGAATCATCTCGGCACAAATCAGTCTCAGAGAAGTTTCGTAAAATAAATCATTCCATTGTAAAGTTGGGTGTGTTGTTCGAACCTGCCACAGTTGCGATTAGTCAGTCAGTATATTTGCATTATGTAGATATCTAAAAGTGCATATGTGTGTAGTGCTGCTCAACATTTGAAGAGATGCAATGAACCAATTTTATAGTGGAGCCGATTATAACACGATTTGTCGACCTCGGCGTTGGTGGTTGACTCTTTTAAGCCTTGATTTGCTCCTTTGTGTCGCCAATCTTTGCCTACTTTTCTTATTTCTTGTCTCAAATTGAGATTGTAAGAAGTGAGAAAATCGTATTCGCAAATTTAAAAGTGAATTAAATTATTTACTTAACTCGGCTTCTTCACTATAATGAACTCGAGCCGGTTTATTAATAAAACTAATATTGATTGAAACACTTGAGCAATTTGCATTGCTTTAGTAGTGTCAATACGTTTTTAGGTGATGAATGAATAGGATACGTACGTACATAAATCAAATTTATCGTTAGTTAGTTGGGAGGAAATGCAGTCAACAATTTGTGTAATTGATTGATTCAATAAAATCATCAAAATTGAGAAAATCAACAACACCATTCATTTCTCTCGTGTCTTGCCTCACTTTTACATATTTTCGTCTGCACAACGCCCATTTTCGGAAATTATTACGTTATCACGGGAGACATGTAAAGTCTACCGAGAAAAAAAAACTTAACTTTACTCGCACTTAGGAAGCAATTATGACTCTCAAGCACAGATGCGTACCCACTCAATTCACACTTATGTATGTACGCATATTTATGTGTGCATATGTACGTATAGTGTATCTATAAGCTGTAGAAAAGACGGGTACGCATGAATATGCAAATATGCATGTTGACAGGAAGCGCAAAGACACTCGTGCAAAAAATGGATTTAAACACATGTAGTGCAAAAACATGGCATTAATCGGCAAAACTTTTACAAGTACACGAAATACGTTACAACAACTAGAAAAGATTATCCCCAATTAGTTCATAGTAAGTTTATGATTATCGAACTTATTTATTATCATATCGCATATTATTGAAATAGCAAAAACTCGCTTAAAATGATTCCAACAAGTCAGGGTAAAAAAGTATTTAGTACTACAGATAATTCGCAAATTGAGTTTTACGCATGCCATGAAAAAAGACGCAAGCCTATCACCAGGAGGAAGTTGACCGTTTAAGTACACAAAACTTAGAAATATTCATGATTACATTCAATTTCATTCATAAAATCTCAAAAAGACTTCCTCACTAGACTTGATTACGATTAGCTTCCGTCCGGAAATACGTACGAATTTTGCACATCGGACGATGAGACATGATTCTTCAGGAGTCTTATTGCGAGAACTTTTCCAAAGGAATTTCTGTGGGTACTTGAAATAAACGTGTTCATTCAACTCGTCTCATGGAAAAATAAATAAATGTCAGTCTGAGTCAAAATCTTATTTCCTTTGCTCTTATCCAAATGTATACATAACCGATATCTTTCTGACTCAATTACTCCCATGCATGCACCCAACACATGCATTCGAATCTGTACATTTTCAGCTAAATGGTGACGAAGAGGTGGGTTTTCAGTAGACAAAATATTGCACATAATTTGATTAAGTAGCAAAACAGTGAGTGAGCGAAATATGGTTGATGATATCAGACTAGATTTTCATGACAGAAGAAAAGCTCAGTAAAATCAACTTCTTCTGCCAAACCGAAAAGTCAGCTCGTTACAAGAAGTACACGTACACACAAATGTCAAAATAAATCCACATTCTTTTCCCAACGAGCTTACACATAGCAAGTAAGTAATGCGACCCATTAAAGTTAAAAATGCTGGTGATGATGTAATGTCTTTGTCGCCAGATTTTTGCACTGAAATTTATTTTAAGCTACCAAAACGAATTGGCTCGACCAAGTCGAATCAATCACTCAATTATGTAAGTGCTTTGTTTATTAGTTTTCTTATCAAGTGTCCATGTAAGCAGAAATAAAATGGGAAACTGATTCAACGTATGTACGTCCACCCGTGTATCAGCACCGTGATGCGAATACAGACTAAACAATTCTGGCCTCAAAGACAGATCATTTTTTTATAAAATGAGTTGATATATGACTCTTTTTCTTATCTTAACCGCGTCTGCGAAAATATTGGACGGAAATAATCCGTCCCGGTCTGCCCTTCGGAAAAGTGATAACGCTTAAATCTATCGGAACACAATAATAAAGGCACAAATTAAACTACCAGCAAAAAATACGCATGTAGCAAACATTTGTCTTATAAACTGAAAGAAATTCGAAATGAAAAATGTGTGAGAGTAGCAGAGCTGGCCAAATTACTTGGAAGTCAAATTACAAATTACAAATTACAATTACAATCACAACATTGCTTCAATTACAATTACAAATTACAATTACTCAAGAAAACTCAATTACTAATTACAAATTACAATTACATCTCTAAAAAAATTTCGCTTCAATTACAATTACAAATTACGTAATTGAATTACATCACAAATTACAATTACATTTGAGATTTTTTAATGAAAATTCATCATTTAATAGTCAAATAATTTCAATACTTGTTCGCTTTTAACAATGTAAACGCCTTTACATCAAAATTTCCACCTAGAAAAACTAATTTGCGAAGGCAAATTTTGCAAGTAAAAGCATATTGTTCGAAGTGAACAAGTATCGAAATTATTTGAATATTAAATGATGAACGTTCATTACAAAAATCTCAATTATATTTGTAATTAGTAATTTGTCTTATAATTCAATTGCGTAATTATTAGCATTTACTTATTTTCATGCATAAGGCCCCTGTGCATGAAAATACACCCTAGTAATCAGAGCCGTACCGTGAAATTTTCAGACCTGGTATGAGCTTCAGTGCCGGGCCCTTCATGTTCAATATATTCGATATTACGTAATCGTTTTCGCTCCAGAATACTAATAGTATCTTGGAACGAAGTAATATTTTACCTATTTAGAGCACACTATTTTCCCAGATCCACGGGAAAATAGTGACAATTAAATTGTAATTTTAAATTGCTCACACACCAAAATTACCCGAACCATAATTTACGTTTTCCTGCAGGACAACATTCATGAATGTTCGTGTTTTCGGTTGTGGCAGAATTTGTGAATATATTTAAGCCAAATCAGGGTTTTTCAAAGTGATAAACTTTGACCCCATTTCAAAAATGAAAGAACATTTTTGCACATAATTACATTGAGTTTAAGAAACTTCCACAATTCAAAAACTTTTGATTTTTCGAATTTTCTGGTCTGTAACATTTTTTCAAAATTTCGAAATAGCATAAAAGTTTCAAACATTAAAAGTTTCTCCAAAAACAGTTTTAGGCCTTTTAAGATGGCCTTATAGATTTGTCAAGATGTCTGTCTGTCCGTCCGTCTGTAGGCACGATAACTCTCTTTAAACAAAAGCTATCGAGTTGAAATTTTGCATGCTTCATCTTCAGGTAAAAAGTAAGGATGAGTTCGGAGATGGGTATGATCGGTCAAGTGGTTGGCCAGTGGATGTCATTTCCACCCAAATGTGTTGCCATTAACTATCAAGATGGCATTAATACCATCTTAAAAGGCCCCGCAAAGTTGCTTGGAGTAGGTTTTTATAATTTTATGGAGGTAATTTTTTAGAAAACATGTCCCTTGATTTTTGAAATAGCGTTCAAATTTTAAAATTAGCAACTTTTTGAAAAATCCTGCTTTGGCTGAAAATGTATTCAAAAATTCTTCCACAACCGAAAACACGAATATTCAGGAAGATGAAAATTACCCTTCGGGTTACTTGAGTGCGTGAGCAATTTAAAATTGGTCGGGTCAAAATTTGAGGAAACCACTTCATGCCGACGCATTTTAACCTTATACGAAATTATCATGGAATTCGTATGCGAGAATCTGTATTTTTCTCCCTCGCATGAAAAATGTCAAGGTAAAAATGAAAATTCTCGCTCACGGATTCCGTCATAATTTTATTTAAGCATTACGAAAAATCCTGGAACACATGTTCAATTACTTATTTGTCTAAGGTTACATAATTATCGTGGTTTCGTCAAAATCGGAGCAAGACCTCTGGCGTCATAGCATTGTAGATTAAGGGTCCTAAGTTTATACCAAAGTTTGTCCCTAGGTTATGGTAAATTTGCCCCCTAGCAAGGCACATTTCAAGTTGCCATAAAACATGTAGGTTCAGTTAAAATGACGATTTTGCATATTAATTAAAATTCGAAAGTCAGACTATTAAAATTAAAAATTGTCCAGTATGTATGTCTGCCCAAATTCATACAAAAATAATTACCCATGAAAAACAAATAATATCTAGCAGTTTAACGTTAGATACATTCAAACAAAAATTATTCCACACAAATAAATTTTCTTACATGTAAGAAATGAATTTTGGATTTTTTTTGTAAAATCTTCAATACACAAAAGTCTATTATACCTAGTGTAAAGCTAGCGACCCGGCCCGGGCCCTTACGGGCCCCGGGCCTGGTATTTGCTACCACCATATACCACTGTTGGTACGGTACTGCTAGTAATGAATTCTTATGTATGGTAACTAAAAAATTGCGAATGTGAAAGAATGATTACATATTTAATCCGAAAAGTGAAAGGCA